AGATCTGGTGAAACAATGGGAGGCTTGCTATGTACTTGGTGAGATAATTAGAATCTTCCTTCCTATCTCCCTACCACACATGTCCATGATGGCTCTTACTATACACGTCAAGGTCCTTTTATAGAAGCAAACCACCAGCGTCTTGTGAAGTATCGCCAATAATCCTATATTACGCACGTATCTTTGTGAAGAGCGCTTTAATCTGGTCCCCTGAGTGACATGACCAGACTAACGTTTTGTTCAATATTGGTTTTACATCTCTTTGGTTCCCAGACTGCAGAAGCAAACCTCCATTCACCATTCTCGAAAAAAAAATGTCTGGAGATTAAAACTCATGTTTTAGATCAAGAGATGAGAAAGACACGGTATTTCCAAAATACAGAAAAGTACAGCTTTCATTTTGTCGGGGCAAAGGCAGAGAACGAAAGGTGAAATTAACACGACAGTACTACGAATTGCGCTGAAGATGCATTTCGTTTCAGTTCCTCTTAAAAGTCACGGAGTTCGTGAAAGCAACCCGATCTGTTACCGTAATACCACCTGATTTGCGTTTGATACTTTGAAGACATCAAAAACAAATTTCTGTGGACAGACGTGGGCACAATAGACAGATTTGTGATCTCAACGTCTCAACATTTTATCAAAAGGGGAAAGATATCCTCGGTATTGTTTAATAGAAACTAATATAGTCGATAGTTTCATTTTACCTGGAGAGAAAAAAAAAAGGGAGAAAAAGTTTGCATTACTTTCAGAGAGCTGTGTGGGAAAGTAGTGTTCAGGCACGTCTGGTTGCGAAAGAACCTGACGCGATTTTCCTGTACGAAGGATGAGAGATGGTATCCTTACACCTGGTTAACCCGATGACGAAAGAGTTCTGTTCTCTGCTATAAAGCAGAAAAAAAAAACATCTGCTTTCTGCACCTATTCCCTGGAAAATCAGCCTTGACGTTTCTTGAATCATCAAGGAGGTGTTTTCAGAATGGGGCGTTACTGACACCCCAAATCAGGTTGTTTATTGCAACTGAAGGTTGTTTTTCAGTGTCTGTGTATATCTATAAAGATTTTTTTTGTGATGGGTTTAATAAACCCTCTATTTGCATATTGTAGCTTCTGACATGTCTGAGAGTCTGGGAACTAATAATAATCTTAGTAGGTATTGCAAAAGTAAGATCTGCCCTGAATAAGTAAAACTCTATTTCACAGCTGTCAAGACTCCAGCGCTACATTATATATACATACGAGTTTCATTTTTTATTAAGTTGCTTAAGTTTTCTTCCTGAGCCCATTTTGATTAACGCTCGCTGATGTGTCTTTAAAGTCAGGGTGCCACTTTTTTGTTCTGTCGGAGAAGGAGAAAAAAAGAATTCTGCTTAGCAGCCCTCTGGATCCGAATCGTATTTCTTGACGTTATCTACTGTGCATGCTCTAGTACAAAAATAAAATTTGGAAATTAATAAAACTGGACAAAATTAATCAAGGATGCGATCAGACATAAAATGCCTTTTTAGTGGTCACCAAAATAAAGTAGTCCAGGAGATAAACAGAAAATCAACTTAACAATTATTACAGAAATAGTCACCGTGGAAATAGGAGTGGCACAGCACACAGAACTGCTTTGCATAGTTATATTTTAAACGTTATCATGGTCTTCCCGGAAAATACCAAGAGAGCATATTCACCAGAAATACAATAAGAAAACAATGTACGTCGTTCATGGTTTATGTGCTTCTGTGCTGTAGCGTTGTGCCAATATTTACAGCAGGATACGGGTTGAAGACAAAAAGGAGTCCGTTTTGGTGTAACGACTGAATACAGAAAAGAAGACAAAAGCCTAAAACCTGGGTTAGTGTCGCTCCTGGGATTGTCCCAGACTGAATTAGCACTTGTGTCACTTCTTTTGGATGAAGTCTTACTGTACATGGTAGATGTAAACAAGGCACACTAAAGAAAAATACTTACAGTGTATTTTAGAAAGTTCTGGAGTAATTGAATTTGTCAGGTTTGAAAGTTTCAGGTATCAATATATTATACTGAAACATAATATGACGATATATGAAATCTGTGATACTGTCGATATGCTAGTGTTTTTAGTGAATCTAGACTTTTATCAGTCCTGTTGCTATTGTTAAACGATATTCTTGCTGTTATTGAATTTATTTGGATTGTAAATTTAACAGCAAATTCTTTATAGAATGTTACTTTCAGGTGACTTGTGTGTGTTTCACCTTGGATTAACATTTTTATTAAATTGATCATAAATACTCTCACAAAGTAAACATGTGGTCATGCTGGTTAAATCACCTTAACAAATCTTACAGAAATAGTCACTGTGGGAAGAATAGGACTGTCACGTATAATTTAAAATAAAAACAGACTATTTTTTTTTCCATTTTAGACTGATCTACATAACATTTGCCTTTTTAAGTATGTACTTATATTGCGAGTGTAAATATCTATTACTAGTTGTGAAGAGTTTAATATCTCTTTTGATTTAATTTAAAATTTATATTACGATTTTGTTATTGCATCGGGAAATATAAGTTCATATTATATTTTTTTTTTCCATCAAGAAAATATTTTTTTTAAATGTCCAGTATTGAGGAAGAACATCTCTGTATCTGTCATCAAAGTACAGTGGAATTGTGTTTTATCATATTATATAACGTCAGTATCATAAAAGGCAGCTCACTGTTAATATGTGAGGTAGATTATGGTTTTAAAAAATACCTAAGCAGCGTGTAAATATTTTCATTCCTACCAATAAAAGAGTGTTTCAAGCTTCCAGTAACAGGTTGTAACAAGCTTTGTTCTCAATGGGGAGAGAAATCCTTCAGAAAGTGTAGCATTCCAAGACAGCACATTCTTAACCCTTATACCAAGAGCTCTGCTCTTTCCCTCTGTTCTTTATTTCAATGACAGCGTTGGAAACTAGCCAAGTTAAAGCCCTTCCATCCCAACACTGTGAATTACTACCCACATTATTAAAGCTTAACAGCTTTAGTCCACTATTGCTTAAGAGGACAACCTCTCAAAAAGTGTGTTTGGTTTTATAATAGAAAAAAATAAATACATGTGCGTATGAGCTATCCTTAATATGGTTGCATTTTTTACCTGTAACTTGCAACGGATGATGGTACCATGCCTTTGTTACAAACTGTGGCAACAGTGGTGCAAAAGATGAGTTTTTCAGCCAGTCTTTTATTTCTATCCCACTAACACTCGGATCATAATCACAAGCCACCTACTAATCCATGTACTAATCATATACATGTACTGATTTCTATTCCACGAGACAACAGGTAAAGATTTTTCACAAAACACCCTGCTGTGTTTGTGACCAATTGTTATAAACTCTATTTTTTATATCCTTGACCAAATAATGATCAAGAAACCTATATACAAACTTTATTTGGAATAGTACCTGTCATGGTAAAATGTCTCAATTATTTCAGGCCTTAAATAAACAGAACGATCAGTAGCCTTCTGAATACGTTTCAGCAGCCCTGCAGAATTTGTCCATATACAATGGAAACAACTAAAATGCGATAGCACCATTTTTCCATTTTTTAAAATCCAGATTTTTTTGTTCCATGTTAGTGAGAGCTATGAAAAATGGTAAAAGTTCAGTCCAAAGGTAACAAACTGCCCTGACCTGATCATTCCTGGATTGGGAAGCAGCAAGCACCTGGTTAAAGCTCTACTACAGACAAGCGCAACAGGGAGATCACTTCAATCTGCTGCCCGGACATCCAACAGCACTGTGGAGTGCGATATCTAGCAACAAACATCTGTTTTAACCCGAGGATGTGGACCTCACAAAAAATCTCTGCCCTAGGGAGGCCATCATTGGCTCACATTGTCAAGTCAAACAAGACTGCCAACACCACCACCAATATTTAAAGATTGGCCCAGCGATCCAGTCTTGTTCCAGCATCGTTAAAAATGCATATCGGGGAAAATGTTGGCCAATGTTGACCTGAATCCATTCTATATTGATGAAATAGTTTTGAATACCATCTCATTTGCCCCACAGCTGCGTTGTTTGACACGGAGAAAGAGTACAGGGAAATACTAATAATTTGATTCGTGCTTCAGTGCTGAATGCTACACATGACCTAAGTTGAAAACCTTCTCACCAACTAGTTTCTTGTCATTCCCAGTGACATGATGGTGAACCAAGTTATGACTCCACGCATTGCACAAAAGTGCTGATGGAGGACGATGTTATTCCAAAGAGAAACAAAAGGATAAGGTCGTTGGACCTTGGTTGCTTTGCAAGATATTTCAGTTTAGGTACGCAATGCAAACTCGATGCAAAGAGAATTTCCATCCAGTTAGTGTGATGAGTGCACCGAGTGAAATGTGAATAAATTATGAACTAATTGTGTAAATACATATATTAATCAATCAGTAGGGTAAAAAAAAACCTGTGTTCTGAAATGTATTTTTACTGTATTAGACAATATAAAACCTGGCTCTATATCTTAAACTAATCCCAGGGAGACGGATCACTTCTGTTTATTTTTACAAGCAGCAAATCCCACAACAACTAGATTGCTAAGCATACAATTTAAATAAAGTATTTCACAGCTGTTATAGCTTTCAGTGATGTCCCAAGTGGGCTTTGTGTTGTGATAGGCAAGAAACACGGGCAGAGGAAAAAAAAGCCAGAAACCTTAAAGTGAATGGCACATTGTTCATCAAAAACTTAACACTGATTGCTTTGCACATGACATTATTATTTATTGACAACAATACAATAGCAAATAATGACGCATTTTCTCCAGAGTACAGGACTTCAGATTTGTTTTTCTCAACAAAACAGAAAAACAACAAAACAGAAAAACAACAAAACAAACAACACAGTCACAGTACATGTAAGGGAATGGGTGCTATTTGTTTACAAAACACGGTATGAATTTAAAACCCTGTTAAACAATTAAACAATTAAAATATTTTATGCAAAAAAAAAGAGCAAAATATGAGTATTACACAAGATACTACCCTCTGTACTGCTGCTGGGGGAGACGAAAGACTAGTCGTTTTCAAGCATCGCTGCTTGTAGACGGAGCTGCAAGCAGCTGGGACCTCACGCCTAAGACTCATTGTGCTTTAGCGAGCTTGAAGCCGTGCTCCGGGGAGCCCAGCTAGCAGCTGTATTAACCTGCCGGCAGGAATCTCTAATCTAGGACAAATTCAGCGCAACCAAGTTCACGGATAGGAGCGGGACTGTCTAGACTTGGCACGATTACCTTAGCCACCGTGAACAGGAGGTGAGAGCTTTCACTGGTCCTGTGGCATGCGCAGGAACAAACCCAAGACAACGAGGAGCGATTAAAGACGTACCTTTCGTTGCTAGTGGGTATGTGCTGGCTGCCAGGAGACTTGTGCAAGGTTCACAACAGCCAGAGGCTACCAAATATCACCCGCCTTCAGCACTTAAGTTTCATTTTGGCAGCTGCCAATGGAACCCCAACTGCACTAATCAGCTTCTTTTTGGATTGGGTTTCAGGGAACACAGGGGAAGACAGAAGCCAACCAGAAAACTAACATGGTACAGTATTTGTTTCTTTCACTTTTTTTTGTATTGTTTTTTTTTTTTACTATACCTAACATATCAATTACCTTGCTGGGTGTGCTCTGTTTAGTTTCCCCCTCGCTGCTATGAAGGCTGTGTCTTCACTGCGTTTGTTTCTGAATTTCACTTACAGGTGCAGTTTTTCAGAAAACCTTGTTTCCCCTCCCCCACACAGATGCTGCTTCTGCCCATTTTTACACTCAGGTTCAGCAATTTTGGGTGGAGCATAGTAATATAAGCAGAACCGTAATCCAAGAATCATCTAAATGTAATGCCTTTGGCTTTGTGACAGGTTAGCACTTCAAAAACAGAGAACACCCCCCCCCCCCTTTAGAAAAAAAAATGTTTTCAACTGAGTTGTGCGTTTCACAGCAAAAAGTCAAACTTTTTCAGAAACAAGTCTCACCACCTCTGGAGATCAGGCTTTTATTACAAAACCATGTGCTAGTACCATCACGTGATTAAGGTATTATTATTAGCCATTCTCATAAGAAAATGTGATTAATTTATAGACTGAAACCCAGTGGCACCCATTTCCACTTCCTGTCGGTAGCTTATATTTCATTTGGGTTAATTATTCTTTTTCCAAACTTTTCTTAAATGCTTTCATTTAGGGATTGATGGTTCTCTTTCCTTGAATGAGCTGCAAAATAAATGACCTTGTCGTGTCCATGCTTGTTCAACGATGGGTGTTAGAGATAGTTGTCAGTAAGCCTGAAGGAAATGATTTTACCTCCTATGAGCCCCAGATGCAGCTAGTAAGTGTTAGTGTGTTCAACTCACATATTGGAACTGGTGACTTAGGAATAGATTTTTATCCAGTCGTCTGTAGAAATAAATTTGGTTTTAAGAGAGATCAGAATCACATCTGTAAAAACAGATTCCTTAAGGATTCCTGCATTTCTCGAGAGTTTTAAAAGCTGCGTCGTTAAAAAACATCAACTACCAGATGAACATAGTCAGTTTGCCCTTTGAATTCTGTCTATGCTGCTGAGCGGCCGGATTTATTGAATTCTACACCGACCTGGTGGTAAAATAGAGGCAACGAAAACAGAAGCTCCTTCTTAGACAAACTCCTTTCTCCTTTTTTGGTTCCAAAAGACAAGCAGCGATACAAAGAGTATCTTACACATGTTTTTTGCACTTTTTGCTGTTTGGCAGAGAAACTTTGCAAACATATGCCTTTTTCTTAACATGGTTGTCTTATTTTGAATGTCACCTTACAAGCAAAGTGAGCTGCTTACTGAACCTTACTGACCATAGTTAAAGATCAAAGCAGAACTGACAGACATTTTTAAATCAAGTGTATCTGTTTTGTTAAAAACAAGGAAACATCTGCCAAGGCTGTGTGCGAGATATTTCAGTATCAAACTGTAATGATGTTTTGCTGTACATTAGATATGTAATGCATTTAAAACAAAACACTGGAAGTACATCTTTACCCAGAAGTTGTGTGAATATGGAACAAGCTACCCAACTTGTTGTTGAAGATTGTAACTTGACTTATTTCAAGAAACAGCTGGATGAGATCCTAAAATCAGTAACTACCAAACACGCTATAAGAGCCGAATGGCCTCTTCTGTTTTGTAACGTTTCTTATCTATATTTACACAACTACTAGTCTGTTTATCCATCTATATCTGTCTACCTATTAAAGCGCAATTTAAAGAACATAGCAAAAATAAACTGGTGAATTCAAATGTTGAATGTCAATAGCAATCAATAGATCATTTTGATTATGTCTTTAATTAAAAATAGGATCACACATTCACAAATGGCAACACATTTGTGTGGATATTAAATATAGGAATGCATTTTTTTTCCTTCAACATGGATTACTTAATCGTGAAGCAGCGAACCCTAAATTCCCATCCACCAAGTTGCTTTTGGACAGTTTCGTATGTCTCTGGTGAGGTCTGACACAGACCATGTGAAAATCCTCTTCAGGTTTTTCAAGATTGCTGTAATAGTTCGGGAGACTGAGGGTGAAACATTTTTAGCAGATCGTAATCTGTTTAGTGCTTTCATATTCAGTATAATAAACTGTCACAGATGTCAGAACATCCATCCCCTGGGGCCTATTCAGGGAGGAACAGGGTATTGTCAAGTAGTGTTAAATGCCCTTTGAAATGAAGGCCATCATTATTTGTTCGGTGTTTATTAACTTCAAATAACTTACATGCCTAGTTCGAAAATGAAGAGAGCTAGGCTTTTAAACTAAACAAACACCAGAAACAGGCCTAAAAACAATGTTGATGCACATAAATAACATTTTAATACTTTAAGTGAGGACTTAGTAAATCAGAAGCAATTGTAACTACAAAATTGTAAAGTTTGAGTACATCAATAAGAATATATATCCATCAAAGGTGACTTGTTTTTTTAAAAACAATCTATTTGGTTTCACTTATGTACTCAAATGTGTTTAAATTAATTAGCCAGTTAGTTGTTATGTGAGGCAAAGCTAACATTATGATAAAATCAAATTCTCATGGTTGATATTTCACAATTATAATGATTCTCATGTTCTGTTTGCAATACATCTGTAAATCAGTGACATTAAAAGATATGTTGCGCATTGAAAGAACAGCAGCTCCATTTGAATCTTTTTTTTTTTTCATCTGGATTTGTGAAAGGAGAGGACACTTGCTTAACAAATAGCATTCCAGAAAATGGCTGTGAAATCCCGGTCTACTTTCCATAAACTTTATTTCACCATTTCACAGTTGAGTTGTTCTGTCAGATCCTAATTAATGCAACATAGAGAAGGAAGTCCTGGAGGTTTGTTTGGCCGAACTCCTCGTGCTGAGGGAACATGGGGGCAAGGCTGACAGAAACCCTCCTCACCTTCATGAGGAATGAGCCAGGGAGCTGCTGCATGGGTGAAGTTGAGGCGGTGGGTGAGCTGGGAGATAGACGAGGAATAGGTATGGGGGGGAGCTGAGCTGCGAGATATTGATACGCAGAAGAGTGAAAGTGGGCGAGATAAGAATTGAACTGCCTCCCGAACTTCTGTTTGAACAAATCTCCATTTGTGTACATCTGCAACATTGACCTGAACCCCACAAGAATTCTATTGCATTCTATTGTTCCAGAACCTTAAGAAAAAGCAAAACAAAAACAAAAAATGAAAAAAGGGTAAATAAAACATCTATTAAATAAAAGCGAAATGACATGTTTTATGATAGTGATAGTGCTATATATAGGTATTCTGGGACTCAGAAGCTGTTAATTACAGGTAAGGGTGATTGTTATGTGTAAATGCAGATTGTTAGTTCCTGATATTCTTATTAGTGGTTCTTCTCAGACAGCCATCTTTACTTGGGTATCTTTTTTATGTTATTTTTTTTTGTAAAAGTCCATTAATTTGATTGATTAAAGTTGAAAATTTGATGAAGGCTGTGGAGAGATATTTGTGTAGCTCACGGAGAGGAGTGTGGACATGCAAGGTGAGAAGCAAGCTCTGCTTAACTGAGGGAAAAGAGTCAATGGTTTATCCTATCAAAAAACATAAGCTCTCCACCAGTCTCAGTGTGGAAACAGATCTTACTGTTTTGTACAATGGTGAATGCTTTCACCTGAGACCCCTGAGGCTGCAAGCTACCACACAGCCCACGTCAGTTAGACTCACTCCGCACTACAATGAAATCATATTAGGGCCATCTATAAATTCACAAACACACATTAAACCGAACCACCAGTCAGCTTAAAATCACAATTATAACAAAATACATTTCTGGAAGATTGAAGTTTGTGGAAAGCTGCATTTGTTGATCTTTCGGAGAGAAAAGAAAAATCAAGAAAAAAGGCAAATCTGTATTTACAGCCAGCCAGATATCCTTGACTTGACAGGTATACAGTCATTATCTGCTTGTCATGTGTCCCCTGCAGCAGCTGCAGAGTAAAAACCTTACGCTCCCATGTATTATAGCAAACCTATTAGCTTACCTGTTTCAAATTCAAAGGCGATCCTGAACCTCAAGACATCAAGAGGACAAAACAAGGTGTCATATTTATGGATCTGTCAGCAGCCCTGAAACCTACCATATACAGTGCTTGGGAAAGGCCTGACAATTTCACTTTGGGGTTAAAGCAAGAGTAGAGCAAAGCGTCATAAAATCAAAAAGTCATGTTACATGAAATCAGATCTCGGCGAGCATTCATGATGATGCATAGCTCGGAGATGCTTTAAACCATAATTATGAGAAACACGACCTGTTGCTTGCAGAGGATCTAAAGTTCACTGCGAGTGTCACTCTCCTGAGGTAGTGCTGGCGACTCACGCTTCTCGGATCACAGAGAGGTGCAGCTTGTGAGCAGCACTGGGGCTCCTGCTCTCCTGGCTGGGCAGCAGGAAAGGCGAGCGTCTTGGCACTGAAATTGTTCGCATGTCTGTTGCTTTTATAAGCACCAGGGGTGTTTGAAAATCAGCACCCATTCCCTGATTGCCTGACTGGTCAATTACTGGTAAAACAAAACAAAACTATCGTTTAAATATTCCTGCTGGCTAATAAGTCTTAATATCACTCTTTTCAATTTCTCCACTTGATGGAACGCGCAACTCCTTGTTCTTGTTTATTCCAGCACAGATATGCCCAATTGCTGCCAAGGCTTCTCATACTGCAGGAGGAGACAGACCCCTTAACAGCAAAGTGCAACACGATGAGAGACCTGCTGGAACTCCTGCAGGTCTGGGGGAGGTCACACATGGGATGAAAACGGTACAACTTCTTACTCTGAACAGTCAATTTGATCTTTATAAGAACCTTTTTCATCCCACTTTACCTTTTTCCTTTTTGTAATAGTTAGGTTGTTGCCCAGGAGACAGAGGAAACAACAAAACTACTGAAAAAGAACTTCCCATACATGGCCCTGAAGGCAGCCTTTAACTTGGGAATCAGTATATAAAACACAGGCAGAAGGAATGATTAATTGACAAAGTTAGCAGAACCCAACACTGATCACATGCATGTTCTGTATCTCTCTGGCTTTGAAATTTAACTATTATTTAATGAGATTTCACACTTATCCAAAGCAAACAGAACTACAGCTGTGGTATTGTAAATGCATGCCACAAGTTTCAGATTTTTTTATGAACTGCTTTGCAAACATTAAGCTTTTCCAAAGCATTTGTCTTGAGTTTCATGGTGTTAATGACAGCTCAGATAAGCAAACATATGCATCTACTAGCTGGAGTGTCACAGCACTGGTCTCACAGGTTTGGAACCAAATGCGACTAATACTGCCCTCTGCTCAGTGACATTCCTTCTTTACTGTTACTGACTCTTCACATGCTGCTCACAGCTCCTTGCACAGACATTGCCTGCTTACTGATTTATTTTCTCATGATTTGCATTTTTACATTTTGTCTTTGTTCTGTCTGTATTTGAACGATTTTGTTTTTGTATACACTTTATGTCTTATTCTATATTGTGCAACTTGTGATGAGTGGGTGATGTTGGGTGGGTGATGTTGCAACCTGGCTGCGACGACCCTCGAGGATGAAATGGTTTTTAGATAATTGTTCAAATTAAAATGAATACTTTTGAGGACATTCATCTATAAAACCTTAAGAAGCAATGAGAAAGTGTCCTTCAGTGCTCCCAGTGAATTTGCCCAAACAAATTCAGACTGTCTTTGGCTAACCAGTTAAAAAATACAGAAGCAGTCACTAAATAAACAGTTTACAGACATTTCATTGAACTGACTATTCTTGAAGAACAGAGAAAAGACAATTTTGACCTGGTGAGAAAGATGAGACCTTTCACTATTCTCTCTTTACGGTCATATTGTATTAACACCTCTGTTAAGAAACTCAGACATGTGTACACTAACTTTTATTCTAATACGTTAATAGGTGAACAAACATTTGCTCACCATGAAAATTCAAATAGAATAAAAGTTTGTGTCAGAGAAAAAAATAATAATAAACCTTATTCTATATTTCATATTATCAAAAGTAATTCAAGACTAAAGTTAACAAAGAGAAGAGGTAATACAATTTTTGTACAATTAAAACCAAGGGTTTGGAATACAGAAGATACAGGGGGCAGAGACAGAGCTGATTCAATAAAAGCCTCTCTGAAGAAGGTTGGAAGGTCACAATCCTCATATTTTGCTTGTTTTTTGCAAACAAAGTGCAACTGGTTTTCCAACAATGTCTTTACAAGTACAGCAAAAATTAAAAGACACAACACAAGCTGAATAATACCCTCTAACACCGGGCCACCCTGTTAAATCCCTCTAGGCTTTTACATGCCTAATTAATGTCATGTATTAAGGAATGTTTGCAAGATACGACAAAAAGAAAGAAGAACATACTAAAATTGTGTTCACATGGTCTGTCACCTCAGATCTTTTTTTTAACTTCACTTTGCCGGTTGTGAAATCTTTTCAGTGAGCCGTTTTAAAAGTGAAAGCAGAAAAAAAATCAGTCTCTCCCTCGATGGGCACGCTCAGAAGGTTAGATATTTTACAAAAGTACAAAGCTAATCAGCCCTGCTGCACCCTGAGAGCCGGGAGACTTTCCCCTGGCAGGAAGCAGCCCGGGCCAGTGAGCCGTGTCTCTTTAAGCCCGTGTGAGGCGGCTCGCTGCGTGCTGACCACATGCCGGGGATTGTGGGAGACAGGCAGGTGCCGCGCCGGAGTGGCCACTGTGGCAGAGCGCGCACTGAAAGACAGGCAGCTGGCCTGAGCCGAGCCCAGCTGGAAAGGAGGAGGATGCAGCCGAGCAAGGGGAGGAAATGATGTATGAATGGTGGGAATTAAGGCGCCCCGTACCCCAAAAAAAAAAAGCAGTGCAGGTTGGTTTGTAACATATAATCTTCATCTATCAGGCAGAAGTAGGGGATGAAATATTGTGTGCCACCCTCAGCATCTCCGTCTAAGGCAGGCTAATGACCACTGTGATCCTGCTAGCAAAACAGGTGATAGAATTTGTGGCTCTTTCCACAGGACTTGGACCCGATCAATACATCAGACATGGACGGCGCTTGCCTTGATTTGACTGCTGCGCATTTAAAGAACATTTATCTTTGCCATGACCTCATTCTCAGTGACAGCACGCCCAGGTGATCTTCAGATCTGATGGACAGATAGACTTTGATATCAATGTTTTTTTTTTTCTACTTGATCTTATTAGTTTTATAGCAAATCCTTTCTTTCCAAACAAAAACAGGATCATAGGAGCTAAAGTGTGCCAGGACATCACCAATTACCCATTTTGTACATGTTGCTGTGTTTAGATCTGGTTTCTGTATTTAAATAAATGCTACTTTGGTGTTTGCACGTAGACTGCAATACTGTTATTTATTTTGAAAGGTGGGTATATTGTATATATATTTTACAAAGGGGGATTTGGGTGGGGTCAGCAGAATCTTTGAGAATCTTATTCCTCATAACAATACCTTGACCTGCACTTAAAGATTGCTTGTTTTCTAAATAAATTGGCAGAGGAGAACATGTGGTTATACGGGAATTCTGAATTCTGCGTCGTTCATGGGTCAGGGAGTCAGCTTTGACGTTATCGTCTGTGACCTTCACCTGTGCCAAACAGCACTACAAACGTCTAGAATAAAAGACTTTCCCGCTACACGAAAAGAAAAATATTTTTTTTGGGGGGGGGGGGACCGAAAAAGAGGGTTATTTTTAACATAATGCTTACAGCTAATTCAACCAGCATCCCGTTACAACACCTATATAGCAACTCGGGATTTACTTTCTAAGATTTTCCTTACGTACAAAAAGATAATTTTCTGGGTCAGCATCATTATATATATATAATTCTGGTTTTGATTTTTTTTAACTGACGGTTGTGAGGAGGATTCTGGGGGGCTCTCAGATCTACCTGTTCAGATTTTTGTGACCTCATCGTTAATGCCGAGTGAGACTCCGCGGTCTGCTGGGCCTGGATCCGGACCCGTGCGCTTGGATACCTTGCTCAGCGATGAAGCAGGAGTCCCCCAGGGGACGGTCCTGCGGGGAGCCTCGCGTCTTTACGCGGGGCGCACAGCGCGCCGTGCCGGGCGGAGGGAGCTCGGCGGGTCCTCCCAGCCCCGGTCCTGCAACAGATGCGGGTGTTCCCATGCGCTGCTTCCACTGGGGCGAGCGGCGCAACGGAGCCGGAGCCGAATAAATCACTCGAAACTCGCTGTCATTCCTCTGCCATCCCCTCGGTGAGACACCGCCGGCCGGCCGACCGACTGACTGACTGACGGGAGCCGGGCTGCCATAATTTTTAAATGAAGGCAGAAGAAGGGAGAGGAGCAGGAGGAGGGGGTGGAAACCGCCATCCACAGCACTTGCCTAATTTTTAGATAACACCTCGGTGGGCTCGGCGCTAGCATCTGGCCAAAGTGTGCTCTCACGCTGGGCACGTTTCTAATAGGCTGCTGCTCTTTCCTGAGCGGCGGAGCAGGGCTGGAGGAGGGGGTGGGGAGGAGGAGGAGAGGAAACCGCGTTTGAGACTTGACTGTACGGAGCGGCGATCCGAGAAAATGGAGCCCACTTTCCCAGCTCTTCCGACGGCCGTGGGGACTTTCCTGCCCGGGCGCCGCGCTGGTAGAGGGAAGGAGGGGAGGCGGCAGGGAGAAACGTGTTAACAGGGCCAAGTAATATGCTCCCGTTAACAATTTAATCACCTGCATGTGCAAAACAAGTGCAAAGCAATCATGGTGTAATTAGCACGGCAATTAACACCTCCCCTTGAATAGCACATACACCCCAGAAAGTGTCTTCCGATGCCGGTGCCAGTGAATACTTTTTTTTTCTTGAATGCTATTTCAGTCAAAATATGTTTTGTTTGTGTGTGCGAGTGCGTTGTGCTGTTGTGACTAAGCATGTTCTGAATAAGTAATGTGGGTTTTAGCGGTTACTTTGGAGTATTACTAGAGATACTATTTATTATACATATTCCACATGAGCTCGATGCTGTGTTTCTAAATTGACAATATACAGTTTCAGATGAGTTTGTATAGGTGTTTTGAAAAGGCACATTTTATTGAGCTGAGAAATTACTATATTAATATAGTCAGATATATGCATCTGTATGTGTGGAAATCACTAACAGTTTTATTTAGTTTAATTGTAATCAAGATTATTGCTGTTGCATTAGAGGTCCTTAGAGCTGCTGAAATGCAAACAAGAGCTAAAATTCACTTGTATTTTATACAGTAGTTAATAGCATTTAGTGCTGCTTTTTTCCTTCCTTTCCTGTATCTCTCCCTCTGTGGTACTACTATATTATTACAATAAGGATGACTGATTTTAGTAAGTTGTTTGTCATCAGTGCAGTAATGCATACAGAACGCAGACTGATTTCAGTAAAAACAATGCAATTAACCCTGTATGGATATCAGTATGTGCACATGCATGTTTTTGGTACTGTTCTTTTTACCTTTCTTTTCAAAAGGCTAGCTGCAATTAAGTGATTAAAGAAATGCTTCACTAAGCTAATTTGAGGGGGGGAAAAACATTAGGCACAAAACAAGCTTTGCGGTATAGAGACCATTCCTAATTAGGAGCACATCCAAAAGTAACTAGTTCTTGACATAATGAATGGCATTACAATTGTCAACATCAGGATATTATTCCAGAAATTGCTTGGAATTATAGTAGTTACCTGTTTTCGAAATCTAATTCCCATTGTCTTTATGACCCTTGTAAATCAATTCTAAGGATTATATAGTCCATTGTTACTTGCTATTAAATATATAACACATGGAAATATGAGTGATCCACTGAATTTCACATATAAAATGTGTTAACTGATAGGGATTATGGATAATACTTTACGATTGGCATATGTGGTAATTGATTAATGACCCGGGAAAATAATTGATTGCAATATTTTGACAGGCTGACAATTTTGTCTAGAAATGCAGGCTCTGCAGTCAGAAATGGATGCTTTCATAATGGCAGAACACTACAAAACAGAGGCAGTCTATTCAGTTCATGCATCAAGGAATTCGGTCAAATCATCTTCACGTCTTATAACCAATTACTATTGATCAGTCTGCTCACTCAGGGTTATGGGTTATTCTCTTTCTAAAGGGATAAAGGGGTGAGTCTGTTTTCATAGTCTGCTTTCCACATGCTGTCTTTCTTGGAGAAAACTGGGTGATGTAACATGTTTATGGAGTGAACTGCACAACCATGCATTTGCTTTCTCAAAGAATAAATAAAGCCGGGCCGTGCTTTATTGTAAATGTGAGAGCCTGTGGTAGCATCTGTTTCAGTTGTTTTCCTTTGTTTTTTCCTCACCTGCTGCACTGTGCTCCTCTGCATAAAAGAACAGAGACTCCAGCTCTGCCCATGTTCAGACGCGGCAGAGACATTGTGATGATGCCTTAGAAGCGTTTTTGTTTTTCTAGAAATTTTCCTTTTGCATTAAATATTCCGCTGTCAGACCACAGGAAACTTTCATATGTGGTATCTTGCGCTGATATTGGTAACAGCAAATACTTGTGAGCTGCCGGGCACATGCAATTTAATTCATCCCAACTAGCCACATGGTGGCAGCTTTAGAGAACCTCTGGTAACCAGGGCACAGGCAAGTCAGAAGACGGCACAGAATCTCAGAAATGGTGCAATCAACTTCATATGGGCATTGCACTTCGACAGCCAAAGCTGCTTTCTTTTATTCTAACAATTATAATATCTATATATATCGCAAATTCATTGAAGCTGGTGATTTAATTACAAGCCAATGTCTAAATGACAAGCCTCACAACAGAAACAAACAAAATACCATACCTGCGACAACAGCCACACAATTTCCTGCGTCACTTCAAATCTAAAATCAAGGCATCTGCAGCAGAATTTCTTTTCAGTGCTTTCAACGAGCATTAGATCGTCTTTATTATATTTTGGTATTTGCATGTCTGTTTGACTGAGCAGCAGAACCACTTCCTCCAGAGTGCATACTTTGAAGGACGCATCATAGTTATTTTCAGAACAGAAGATGTACTGTGGTCAATCATGTAAATGGGATATTGAAATAGACTACATTCAATAGATAATCATTATGTTAACACCTATTAAAGGTTAAACATGTTGTATGTTTTCTGTGGGCTGAAATGTGCTGCTTTTGCTCCTATATTTGCCTTGCATATTCACAGGATTTACATGTCATTTTAAGCACAGCTGATAAGAAGCTTTCCTATTTTCATTTTTAGATGCATGTGTTTCTTCTTGGACAAAACCTATTGTAATCATGAGCATAAAAAGAAACAAAACAGATGTAAGAACTTGCACTTCAGCCTGTCTGAGAATCCTCCTGTAGGCATCCTCTATAGGTGTTGTAGATATGCTTATGCCTACTGTGAAAAAGGCCTCCAAATACACCCTTAGAGGGAATTTTTACTGTATAATGTTCCAAACAAATATTGTAAAAAACTGTTTTGACTCTGAGCTTTGGGTATCTTAAGTTCAGGGGCCCTGTGATCAGATTAAACATTGCAGTATCGTGAACACTGAATGAAAACAGTACTTTGTTTTGAATATGTTATTTAAGCCCCAGATGGTCGAATACCAGTTCGACCACCAAACTTCCCAGAGTAGCATTTTCTGAAGAGGAAAACAAGTGAGTAAGTGTGTTTGTGCCTGTGGACTGTGTATAGATTGAGGTCATGGAGGCAACAACATTTTTGAATCTTTGTGCGAGGCCATTTTATCGGCAGACCCCTGAGAAGACCACAGATTTGCACACTTCTGCGTGAGCAGATTTGGTCTCATGCCCCCTGGCCATGCGTACACACATCAAAGGGCAAGGCTTGTAAATTAAGTATTGCGTAATTTCTGTTTTCAAAGAAAGTTTAGTAGACCTTTATTATCACATGCAAAATGTGTAGTATATGTGGCCCTCTGCAATTAATAAACTTCCTATTCCACATTCATGAGTCTTATTCATTTGCTGTCACTTAACTTGCATAACACCTCCAGTAGCTGAACAAAGCTGGATGTGTTTTTCTGTCCATGGCGTTTAGGTATTTAGTTTAATTTCTATTTATGTGTCTCAATGTTCTTCTAATTTGTTTAGCTACTAAGAAATAAACAAGGGTTTCAAAGAAAAGGGCCGAGCCATAGATTAAAGCAATTGACACGCAGTGTTAGCAGCATTAAATGAAAACAGTGAACATTTCAGGGTGAACGCTGAGTTCTGGAGCTCTTTATTATGGCTTTTTGATATATTGTATCTCTTTTTTAAAACAGTGTTTTTACTTGCCACTGTATTGAATTTAGAGCAATTACACATGGGACCATTTTTTTCTTTAATTTGGAGCAAATTTGCACAA